AATTTGTCGCGTCGACACGGTGAACTGCCTTCGCTGGCAAGTAAAGCGCAAAATTCCGGAATCAAATGTCGGATAGGAAATACGAATGAAATAGGAGTTCCGAGAGCTCGAATTCACGCATACGTTTTCGCTTAATCCGCGTCTGGCTCTTTCACTTATTTTTACTATGTTGTTTCATTTCCAATAATCGACAAAAAATGGTATCTGAAAAATATTACAGAACGCTCCAGGTTTTGTTACTCGACAGATCTTTTGCAGACAATTTTAATAGAAATTCATAGAAAATGTTATTGCAAAAATTGGTAATAAATATCTGTTGCTTTTAATAATGTTATATAAAATTTAATTAAAATTTTACTCAATTAACAAAAAATTTGTTGGTAAAAATTAAAAAATTCAATAAACAACGGCCACTTTTGTGTCGAGAAACTTGATATTAATGTTAAAAACTGAATATTCCGGATATTCATAAAACTTTTCGCTGTTAGTATGCATCATGCCTGTCTAATTTCATATCGTCAATTAAGCATGCTCATTTACTATTTGCAAAAACAACTCTTAATATATGTACTTTGTTTCTCGTTCAGTAAATATATCTCTCACGGTTATGCTTATGCTGACGTAGATTACACACGCTCGAGTGCTTAAGGGTTGAGAGTCATCCTGTCAGGAGCGATGTTGAAAGAGGGTGGTAATCTCTTGGAAAAGCATTGACGCACGTCGCGCATGGAAATGTCTTTCGCACTTTTGTCTTTTCAACTAGCTGAGTTTCAAGTAAAACGTGAAATCACAAAGACAGGCTCGTACATCACTCTAATTACACTCGTTTTACCGCTTTGTCTAGATGTGTAATTTCCTAATTACGATCATTGTCCCCCTTCGTAAAAACACAGTAAGATTGTATTATTCCAGAAAATTATTATTATTATTTAACATTGACTACCAAATAATTACAGCACAATTTTTTTCATTAAAAAAATAACAAAATTACTAAATTAAAAAAATATAAAAGGAGCGTTTCTATATTTTCTTATATTAAAATGTATAAAAATTAAATTTGAGATAAGAAATAAATAGCAACAGCAACGAGCGCGAAGAAAGTTAAAGCCATTAAATAACTAAGTACGATAAATAACGCACACAAAAAAGTGATTAAATATAAATATAGTGATTACGAGCCGTCTGCCTTGATCAAATATTTCCCACGCTAAAGAAGGAGAAAATAATCCTTTCCACCCCGCGAGCAGTAACATTTTATCGGGGCTTTAAAACGTGGCGTGTCCGATGATTCAGCACGTACGCAGCGTCACTTTACAGGGGTGGCCCTTAGAGTGCTCCTTACGCATCATTCGCATGCACTTTCGCCACGCAGGATGTAGGAAGGGGTTGCGCCTCCTCTCGCACGCCGGTAACGCGATCAATAAGATAATTGAAGACTTTCTCGACAATGTAGCCGACGGAAGGGAGCAATTTTGCTGTTTCGCTCATACTAGCGCAAGGTCATTGTTTTCAAGATTCTCGATCTTTTAGTTACGAAATTTTGTTATCCTCGTTTGTGTACACACAATCAAAGAAAAAAAAAACACACACAAACAATATGCGATTAACATATTGCGAAAATATTGTGAATACAAATCGATAAATTTTCTTTTTCGCGATGATTTACAACGAAAATATACAACAAAATAAACAAGAATCTTGCAAAAATTAATCAATGGTTTAATAAAGACACCTCGAATATTCCGAATAAACAGTGAAGCATTGTAAACTGTTTGTTCAAGTTGAAATTAATATTTGCTGAATATTTTTCAGAATATAAACAATCACAATATTGCTATAAATTGAACTGTATATCGTGTAAATGGTGAATAATTACGATATTTCAAACCTTGCATATTTGCAAGTAAAAATATCGCAGTGATATGCGTGGATAACATTCAGCAAAAATATTTCCAATACAACGAAAAATATTTTCGAATAAAAATAATGGAGCAGCGCCTAAAACAAGCTATCGTTTGCAATATTGAAAATGTATAACAAAGCTAAACAGAGTGATTAAATATCATCCATCAACTAACTGTACTAACTACAGAATCAATTATTTTCGAGTATTTTTCAATTAATTATCAATTTAGACTCATTTTGAATTTCATTTAATTTAACGCAACTGTTTTGTTAATTTTTCTTCAAATAATTTAACAGCCAGAGTCTAAAAAAAAATTTTTGATTAAAATGAAGTTAACTCGATATCAACGTAAAATCTTAAAATTCAATCTATGAGAAGAGCTGCTTTCTTATTTTCTCTCGCTTCTAAGCAACTAATGGCTCGTTATCGGATTTAGCTACATCCTGTACAGACGCGGGAGTGTGCTGGTATTCCGATGGAGCCTCGTTAAATGTTTTCGTACCCGCAGCATGTTCGCCTGAGGTCGTGTGGAATCCGATATACCGGTATCGGGCACGCAACTTTAAAAAAATGTATATAAAAATGTGTGACATCGCTGCACGGCGACCTAAAAAGTTATTATCGATACCGCAATCATGCGAGTGCATATTTAAACCATTGGCAGTTTCTTAAAGTCAGCTAATTACCTCGATAAACTAATGATTATGTTCGATAGCAATTATTACAATTTTTTAAATTATAATTTTCTAAAAATTTCATATTAAAACTAGAACAGTTAAATAGATAGTTTTTTTACTTGCCTGATAATGTCACATTTAATTTCACGATTTATTATTAATCAATTTATTTGTGATAAACATTTTCAAAAATAGCACGTTGGTCGTAAATGAATTAGAACGCCGTAAAAGACAGACATTGGTTATTACGTCGCGTGATATTGAAGTAAAAAAACAGAGTATTTAATAAATTGCATTTCCCGATATCACAATAAACCGCGAAGAGTTAACTTGTATCGAGAATTAAGTTGCCTTTCGATTGGAGTCGCGGAGGCGGGAGAAAAAAGCTCTCGGAAACGAGTCGCAGTCGGCCAACCGTGAAAAGTCTGTCGCGGAGAGTTAGAGTGCAATCGCGCGGTAACGAGGTTGATTGCACCTCCAAAAGCCGAGGTAAACGTACTCGCGGTTTGTCTAATTTGTCTCTATGCGAGTTAAAGAGTAATTGCGGCAATCGCGAGACTCGCGGTGCTTTGAAGGACGAACACGTGGCTCGCGTAAACATCGTTGCGGTTGATAAATGGACATCGCTTCGATGCGAACACAGAACATCTTATTATTTCATAATGTAAACGAGTAATGTAAATTTCGAGTTTTGAATTACAAGATAATTACATACCTAATTTGAGCAACGGATTATTTAAACTTTCTTGCAATACTGAGAAGTAAAATATGGCCGGAATTCTTTTATCAAAAATTATCGGCAACAATTTCGGCTTGTTACCAACGTATGTAATCACCCAATTGTTAATCAATGTGATAATAACGATAAGCGCTGTTGTTCGTTTTATCAATGCCGCATTCCGTGTTTACATTTGCTAATAGCGCTCATGGGATAATAATGGGATAATATTATTAAACAAGTAGACGCTATCAAATCGCGGGACATTATCAATGTTTGAAAATATTCATCTGTAAATACAGTGTATTTAGCTTAACCGCGTCATCCAGAGATGCGTGGGCGAGAAGTAATGCATTGATCAAACTTCCTCTGTAAATCGCTGCGCCCGGCTGCACCGCATGTAAATGAACTCTAAATGCGGTTGCCCGTGATTTTAATCGGCTGCTCAATTTCATTCGAATCGCTCAACGTTGAAAAAAAAATATAATACTTCAAAAACAATTTTGTCCAAATACTTTAGTCCAAAATGAAGAATTTTATTTACTTCCTGTTTCTCTTCAAAATTTTACGTATGTACATATTATATTCAGAGATTTTTAATATATTTATAAGTGGAATGTTTAAATAAAAAAAAAATAAAATAAAAATTAAAATAATATTTGGAATCGCGTCGCAAAAATATCTATGATAAACATCGTCAATGCCAGAACCTGTTCCGGATTACTGATCACGACAGCAAATGCGAGATACAGTAAACACAAGGCGCGATGTAACGAGTACCGTGGCGTATAAATGAGCGTGCTTAAACGCACCGTTGCTTACGTACACGTGCGCAGGCATATCGCCGTATACCGAACCGAGAAGTGACCTGGTCACTAGCGTTCCTGCCGATCGTGATTATGCGCCCGACCCATACACCCGCCCGACCGGTTCCAAATGCCTAACCTCCCTCGAACGGTTCTCACATGCCACAACAATCGGGGCGAAGGAAAAGCATTCCTCTCTGTTTCTCGTTTTTCGCTTCTATCTAAGGTCGTCGTAAAAAATGCTGACGTCAAAGATGTTTTCTGATGTACGGATTATCGAGCGATATACGATTGAACTTGTTATGTAGATTTGTGCACATTGCTGCGCACACGTTATTATAATTCCATAATAAATCCGATCCATATAATTCCATATTAATTTCTTGTAATTGTTACTGATTGCAATTCAATGTTTAATTATTATCCTTCGTAATCGTACTAAAATAAATCTTGACTCCTTAGATATTTCGATAATATTTTTTATTATTTTTGATAACACGGCCAAGATTTGATTTTACTAGAAAATTCAAAAATTTCCAAGTTTTATCATTAATCGTAATCAATTCTTCGAACGACTCTTAAACGATGTTGACCCGGCGAGTCAAGATTCATCCCGGGAAATGTTTCCGAACGCAGCTCCGATTACAGGACTGCAGAGCAGGAGGCGCCGGATGACAGCGGCGGCAGGGCGGCGACACCCGGCGCGTCGTCGGCCTCGCGGCGAGGTTCAACACGAGGGTGGGTTTCCACGCTGATAAAACCGGCGATCGATAAGAAACCGCGCGCCGCGGCGGCCGGCGTCGCGGCAAACGCTTCGCGGAAAAGCGAGAAAAAACCCGCCATCCCCGGGCGCGACAGATGAATTTTTATAAGAATGCAGATACAGGACTCACCGTTTGGAACTGCTCCAACAGCTCCTGCCGGTCGTCGATCGCGGTGGCCATGTTTGTCCGAATATATAATCCTTCCGCCTTTCCTTTCTCCGCGGCGGCACCCGGTCGCTGCTTCTCTGTCGCTCCTTTGCGCCCTTTTGGCTGCCTCTCACTCTTCCGCGTTCGAACCGTCTGTCCTTCTCGGCCCGACGATTCACGTATATGCGGTGGTATACGCCGTGACACAATGCGGCGCGCAACGTGCGACGGCACTCAACGATCGACGGACAATTTTCTCACTAAATGTCGTCGGGCGAATGCGGGCGAGCGATACTCGACGCACGACGGTCACCGAAAAGGACGGTGGCTCGGTTTCGACGCGTTTCGGCTACGGATTCGCGGAAAATGCGCTTTTGGGACTGTATCGTCAGCCAGCCTGCCAGAGCCAACGCACGACAACGTCCCACCCAGATGGAGTCGCAGTGAACACTGCTGCGGGATACAGTGCTCCAAACACAGCGCGCGCCAGCTGGCCGACCATCGCCGAAAGCATACGAACTTCCACGACGCTCTCGGCGGCGATTTGACACATGCTGGCTCTTCGTGTCTCACTTTGGAATGCACTGATTTTCACCTAATAAATACATCCAAAAATAAAATCAATGATGAAATTATTATTTTATAAAGATTGTAATTAGATTATTATTTAGTCTAACGAATCGTCATATATATTTTGCACTTTCTTCTATGAACAAATCTAATAATCCAAATATTTTTTTACTAATTATGACGCATATAGAAAAGAATCAAAATTCTAATGTATTTTAAAGTGTGATTGATAGCAAGAAATATTTAAGGAATAATATTACTTTTCTTATTTCTAATAATGTATTCTATATTGCTTTAAAAATCTTGAGAGAAATGCATAGGTTGATAGAACGACAATGATATATACGACGAGTATAACGAGCTCGTGTAGGATAATCCTGCCTTATCTTTTCAGGCTTCCAAAACTTGTACTTTCAAGAGTCTAGGGCGGATATTATTAAACTCACAATCAAAGGCATCTTCTCTTAAAAGATACTCCCATTCAGACTGCTCAAGGATTCTATCTTGTAAATTAATCTTTCTCGAAACCTGCAATAAAGATTTTATCAATTCTATTTTAATTAACATTCCAAAATGATAAAAATGCACTTAATGATTGTCTTAAGTTTATTAAATCTTTGCAAAAATATTAGTTTAAAATAACAAATTGAACTGATTTATAATGAACTCGTATAATCAATTTGCTAATTCTGCAATAAAATTATTAGTTTAATGTAATTCCAAATTTGCCTTATAAGGCAATATTTACAACGAAACGGGCAACGAACCTCTTGAATTCACGGTATCGCCGCGCAGTTCGTAGGAACGCAGAACGAGATCGCGTCGGCGATGATTCATTTTTCACATGCAAAGTAGTGGTGGAAGCAGTACACTGGGTCGACAAAAATTCACGTTGACTCATTGCTATCGTCAGTGAAGTCAATCTGTCTACGCACTGGTCATGATATTAAAACGTGTGTTTATGCAAAGAGCAGTTGGCGCGTATATTTGCGTCGTTCTGCGTTGTCTTACAGCTTTCCTTAAAATGAAAAAAAAAACATTTGTTAGTCCATTTACTTGAATATATATGTAAAAGCACGATAACAAACATTTATTATTATATTTCTCATGATTAATATTTGTATGTAAAAAATGATATGTTAAAAAGAGAAATCAATTTTCATTATTTTTGCAAATTAAGGTTATCTATATATAGCTGCATGATTTGCGTAAAAAAAAAGGTTCATGGTTGATAACGCGCAAACGCCTTTTCCAAACGCGTTGTCACATTGATTCAGAAAATCATGTCTCCCTTAACTTTCATGTTCCTCGTCTCTTTATTGACATTCTCTCCCACCCGTTACATGAATACACTTCCACGGGCATCGACCCCTTTTAAATAATGTTACCTTATAGAAGACGGGGAGATAAATCCCGTTCAGAATTCTCCGAAAGATTTTGTTTTGTCGAAAGTATTTTTCCAAGAAAAAATTCTCTTCCAAAAATGTTCAAATAACGATGATATAACACATGTAAAAAAGTCCGGGAAAAAACGGAATCATGTACAAAAATTAACCTTTCTCTAATTTATAGGTTATAATTAGGAAAAATTGAAAAAAAATGTAAGTTCTCAATTTTACGATGATTAAATATAATGGATAACGGAATCAGATAAGGGATGACAAGAACATCGAATATTGAAAGCAAGCACAAATTAATATCAAGAATCTAATCAAATAATATAGCAGAATCGAAAGTATGAAACCATACCAACCGGCTTCTTTGACGTCAAATGATTTATTGACAGATACATCTATGATAATATATACAACAAGAAGTAAACTGCTTATCGAAAGGAGCGGAGCCCGCCACAAATAAAGTCCTATTGCGAAGTGATATATCTTTATCACTACGTCTATTATGTTTAGCCTTCGGTCAGAAAGTTACACGAAACGTTTAATACAATTCTTCGATAGCACATGTTAAATTACGCATTGGTCGGATTTTCAAATAAGTTACGGCGAAACGAGTAGAGTACAGTAAAAGCTACAAAGGCCTGTAAAACACAGATTCAGACATCGGAATCGCAATATTTACTCTGCGTAGAAGACTGTGATTCGAAGAACTATAACTTATATTGAGAGAGGTGAAAACTACGCTTCATATGAAAAATCACTCAACGGCAATCATATCCTTCTCTCTCCAAAACTGCGAGCTGCTTCTTTCCAAAAATATATCTACCGTTTAGAAAAGAATTTCGTTGTGTGTACGTAAGTGTGCAAAACGTCAAGGTCGCAGTGTACTTACAAAACTAGCTGCGTAAAAATGTAACATCGTTATGATTCAGTCAACGGACTAAGTGACCTCGAGCAATTTACGCCAAGTTAATACATTCGCGCGACCCTCTCCTGTCACGCTGAAAAGTTTTCAGCGAAAACGATGCTGCCGGGACTGTATGTTTCGCACGGCGAGAAGATCGATGCGTAGTATATAGATTCTCGGAAATGCGTAGGCACTTGCCTTTTAAGTATATCTAAATAAGTGAGTAGTGATCCGACATGATACAAGTATTTCGCAATAACGTACAATATATACGAAGTTTCACTTCGATTTTGCCTTCTATTTGCGGCAATGTATTGTTAACGACAGTATACTCGGCGAAAGATAAAATACAACTTTCAGACGCAAAATATTTGGTGTTACGGTTAACGTATTAAAAGATATTTGATATCGAGCGAAACAGACATATGTACATTTGCACGAAGGAATTGTAAGTAACAAAATAAAAGTCGATGACAACGAGATATTAACGATTGATTACGACATTCTCGAAAATACTATCATTAGAGATACACTGCGTTATCTGCGCCGCGTCCGGCACAAGATTATGAATTATTGGGCCAGACTGATTTGTACAAAAATATAATATGTGTACATGTCTCGTCGTCTCTTTGTTTCACAGCCTGTTTTAAATGACACGTAGCATACTCATCTGCCGACAATTCTGGTAATCGAATTTTTCTCTTTGACATTTTCTCTCTTACGCAATTAACAGTGGAATATAATTCTCTGCGTTTCATCTCAACAGAGTTTGTATATCAAGTATTAAGATTTATCCCGACATATATAGCATGCTCGGCATACAAATATTTAAAACACACTGTGCGTTCGTCAATTTATTCCTCTCGTGTTAAATCTGTGTAAATTCTAGATTCTACATTCTATGCTGTTAACAATTGTACAGTTTTCCAGGTCGCCACTCGCGACTTGGTTTCAAAGTTCAGTCTTCTTTTTTTTTTTTTTTTTTTTTTTACAAAATACTCTGCGTTCCTCGTACATTTCGCACATTGAATAAACGTTTACATGAAATAAAATTATAGCTGTTTTAAAACAATAGAAATTAACTGCATGAGTAACAATGTGAATTTCAAATTTCTAGCCAAGGGTCAGCATTCGCTCAAGCGTTATCTTACAATCAAACGTGATAACAGAACAAAATATAAAGTAATGATGATATTGATGTCCTTCACAAAACACTTCTTTAACAAGTAAATTTTGTAATGCAATAACGTATCTCAATGGCAAACTATAATAATCTCTCTCTTTCTCTCTTTTATTACATCATATTAATTCACGAAATTTAATAATTAATATTCTCGAGGAACAAATAAATCAGAATTATCCATTCATTAAACTTTTTATTTAATAAATGATATACTAGCAGAGAAACAAAACAAGAAAACTAATCGTTAATTATAATGCGCACATAGATGTTCCGTTATATACATAAAAGATATTTATGATTCCTCAATGTGACAAGGAATATAACAGAATAAAACGTACAGCTACGGAGATTAAAATTTCAGAACATTAAGAACTATTATTTTACTTTTTTTTTAAAATATCGAGAGAATATAATTAAAGAAATCGGTAAAAATATAGAGAAGTACGTAAACGCAAAACGCAATACAGCCTCTGGTGCAAAAAACGACGGTGAAAATACTTACAGATTATTATTTCGGGAAGGCAGAGTAGATATGCTATCTTTTTATGCTGCTTGTTAATAGTCTCCTTTTATTTTATACAAACTATAACCTGCTTACACTCTACGTTCTGATATAATCTAGCCTAAACGTCTCTTAACATATGCATAATCTAATCATAATACACACATCTCTCAGTCTATTCTGTACATACCGCTTGGCGCAAAAGAAATTTTCGCTTGTCGCTTTTTTTTTTGTGCGCCCAAGAGACATTTAAAGACCGATACAAAAGACATACGAAAGACCCTACACGCGACACAATATTTCGAAACGATTTATTTCGACAAGTCCTTACTGAGAAAAAAAATGTCCTCGTAAACGTGTCGGACATCGTAACGGGTCATTTCGGCTCGCAACCCACTCTCCGGGGTTTCATTTATCCATTGTCAGTAGATAAGGTAAGATAAGGTAACGCTACAGATCGTGTGATTAACATCGCTGCAGAGAAAATCCGTGTCGCGAACCGTTAATCGTCTTGTGTAGAAACAACTGCTTCATTCGACCATACACAGCAATAGGCGCAATGCGCGTAAAAATTACGAAACAGAAACAACATTCTTCTACGGACGGTCGGTTATAAAAAAAAAAAATTTAGAAAGGAACGAGAAGACAAAAGGCGCGTACATCACGGTTCATCCGTGATCTGATTGCCATCGGCGAGAAACGAAACCGATGAATTTTTCGTAATAAAAAAAAAAAGAAAGAAAACAAAACAATCCAACAAAACGCTTTTGCGAATACTTTCGCCGTCGTGCGGATTGAAGTGAAGCAAAGAATTCACGTTGCCGCATAATTTGAATTTATAAAACGCATGAGTGGAAGCACAAAAATGATATTTTCATATTTGTCGTGCATTGTGTAGCATTGTCCCTACTCGTGAACGAAATTTTCAATCGGTATAAATGCAGATCGATGATTGACTAGCAGTGCTCTATTAGCATCTAAAATAACGTAAATCTCGCAGATACAAACGAAAAACCATAGTCGATAGGAAACGTTCACCACGTGATGTGTATTGTGTGTGTGTGTATGTGTGATCGACATATTGTAACTCAATCATGCTATAATACTTCGTCTCTTAAGTTTCGTCGTGAATTGTAGTCGAATGATGCACAACGACCTGCAATGCCGATAGTTCCGTAGATAATGGCAAGAGAGAGACAATCATTAACTTCGCATCATGAGTTCGTAGATCGAGGATCGCAATTATCGCATACGCCGCGGAGCCTCGTGCGGAGCTAACGGACGACACGAAGAGGGCTAACAGATCCTAGGACGAAGGACGTCGCTTTCCTAGACGCCCGCCTCCGTGTCGGTGGTGCTGCCGTGGTACTCCTGGGGCTGAGAAAGGGAAAGAAGTGCATCCAGACCTAATGATTCAGCCGGATCTGGCGGGGATCTCGACTACAATGTTTAACACAAAAAAAAGACTCGCACTAGATCTGTAATCCGGTTTTTCAGTGATAAACGTATAATCGACAAAACGATGACGCGAAATAAAATTTTTGTCGAATAAAAATTCACCAATTTCAGGCGTGTTACATGTATCGCTTACATGCAATTCGTATCTATGAAATAAAATGTATAATTCTGCCGATAATGTACAATGTGATGATAATGAACGTAATTGGAAAATATACACATTTGTTTTTGGAAAAATTAAAATGGAAAAAAGAATGACACGCGATGCGCATTGTTTTATTAAGCCTTCCCGGGCGCTTTTTTCCTTACCGATGCATTTTGATCGGCTTCTTTACAGTTGCTACAAATATAATCGTCTTCCTCTGCGATATCTGTGCGATCCAATCCGACACAATGCATATGGAACCAACCTTCGCAGCCACCGTCACACTGAACCCAATCAACTTCCTTACCTAAATAACAAATGAAATAATACGTGAAACATCGATAAAATAAAGCTTAATTTAAAAGAACAAATGCGGGTATAATCAAAATCAAAATATTATCAAACTAAAAATATACATACAAAAATAATTCGTATAACATTCGAAACACATGCTACGTGATCAAAAAAGTTACGTACACAATCATTGGCAATATAATGTTTATTGCACACAACAATTGTTCATTATATATTACGATATATAATTCTTATGTATCGAGAACATGAGTGACGCTTATAGAAGATATCATTAAAACCACGTTGCGAATACATCGACAACAACGTCATCCTTACCACTAGGCCGCAGACAGTTAACCGCCGCGCAATCATCCTCTTCGTCCGAGCTCTCTTGCTTTGTCTTCTTCGTGCGATTACCACCTCGCTTCTTAGGGATTTCCTCACTCTCGCTCTTGCGTTTCATCTGCAATTCATATTTGACTGAAATCGAGCTGTCTAATGTTCGCGCAACCGTCAATCGCATCTATTGTCATAAGTCGTAAAATGTCTCGAATTTAAACTTCCTATAACACCGATCTATTATTGAAAAATTTATTTTTAGCGAGATTCGAGATTATTGCGTCAAATGTGTTAATATCAAGATTTATTAGAAATTTATTGAAAAAAAAATTTAAAGTGAAAGATTTAATTCGAGACACGATTGTCACAGAAAAATCAAGTACCTTTCGAGGTCCGCGCTTCACAGGCACCGGCGAACTGCTCTGCCTCTTCTCTTTGGCAGCAGGGCCGCTTTTGCTCCGTTTGACTGCATTCTTTTCTTCGACCTTTTGCCGTCCAATTTTCTTCAATAATTCAAATTCTTCTGATTTTCTCTTTCTACCCCGTTTCTTCACGTCCTTTGCCTCCTGATTGGCGTTCGTTTGAACTTCGTCAAACGACTTGTATTTCCGTGTAGTGTTTTGCGTATTTACGTGACTTAAAATACGCCATATATGCTGTGTCTCGTCCAAGGCGACTTCCAACAGATCGCCCTCCATCATGAGTTCCTCCAAACGTGACCTTGCACTTGACGATAACAGGGCCAGCGATTCGCCGCCGTTATCGCTCGATTGATTTTTTCGCCGAACTTTCGAAACTGAAAACAAAAACAACATAAAACATAATTACTCTCCGATCGAATATATTTCAAACATGTTGCATATATTTGTCACAATTAAGAACTTACTGTATGAATATGCGTGTTCATTACTGTTGAAAGTACTACAGGTCGGTTCGTCATCCATGGCGATAACATCGTCATCGTCATCCTGAAATATCGAATATTTATTTACATTTTATTCATATGTATTCATATGCTTGAAATGTTTATGCAAGAGTCATGATTATAACCAAGTTAAAGCAAATTAGATTTATAATTCATATTGCAGTCAATACTTACTGCAGTACTAAGCGCGCTATCATCCGAATGCACTCCGCTGAGGGGTGCGATAGCTTGCACTCTCTGATGCAGTTCGGGATTATTCGCTGCTTTCTTCAACTCGCTACTGATAATTTTCTCCGTCTTTTCCCTCGCCGCGGCTTCTACCAATTTTTGCGACATCATAGCCAGCTTTCCCAGTATCGACGAGATCTCTTCGGTAGCCAGTGCTTGCCTCGCTCGATCCTAATAGACGTATGCTTAGTTAGACATTGTTTACTTAGACCAGCGCTCGGAATTAGTTTTACTTCTCGGCCGATTTTCATACGTCAACGCCTACTTTCATTCACAGCGCCGACGAGCGTTAGAAGCGGCGCTAACAAATGAAGTGGTATTAGAAAAACTACTTTATTTGTCTTCTAACGCTTGGCGGCCAAACCAAACAGTAGTTGCGGTGCGCACAATGAGGAGAGAAAATAGGCATTGACATATGAAAATCGGCCGAGAACTAATCTCGAGCACTGACGATACGAAAACGTGTTTGATTAGTACACTGACCTGCCAATTCATTGCACGCTCCGTTAGGCATTGCAACGCCTCTCCTTCTGGTAGGCGAATCTGAATTTTTTGGAGGCTCACCAGGATGGCTAATATCGTTTCCAGACGAGGTCGTCGAGAACGCAGACAGCACGGACACAGGAATTTCATGTCTGTCGGCCCTGGTGGTTTACCTTTGTACGATGTTTTAGGCAGAGGCACGCAATTTGCTACAAAATAAAAATTGATAGATATTTTTATGAGATAAATAAATAATAATTATTAAATTAATTATGGCAATGATTAGTTTCTTACAATTCATATTGCCACACTTACTGTGGAACCAATCCTTGCAGAGCTCGCACTGAAGCATGATGCCGTATCTTGGTCGTCGACAGACGCAATACTTGGCGTCTTCCACTTCCGCTTTCATCTTCATCAAGTTCCTCTCCCTCAGACTCCTCATCGCCTCCATCTCTCGTGTCTCCGCCAGCTTAAAGGCAGCCACGACGGTCGCCGAATCGCTGGAGTCGTCCAGTTTCGTATCACAGACATAAACGGCGCCCACGGATTCGTCGCCTTTGTTTTTCTTGGTTTTCATCGCCTGCACGCCGACGCCGATCCGTGGCGACAAGGCTTCCATCAACGTGTAGTGCGAATTCTTCCTCAGGAATGTCCTCGCAGTCCTTTCTTTCCACGCTTTAGCCTGTGACAGGGTGGATTCCAATATCGGAAGAGCGTCCAGATGCAGCGGTATGTTTCTTCCCTTTCTTATTAGATCATCCAGAGTATCGTAATACGAAAAAGTTTCTTTCGCTTGTATGTCGTCTACTATTTTTGTCCAGTTCTTTGCCTTGTTTAGCATGTCTTGAAGAGTGTCCAAGCTCGGCAGGTATGCTTCGACTTCGTCCGCCTCGTGAATAAACTCTTCCACAGCCGTGATTGTACGTCTATTTTTCGTCTGAAGAAACGCCTTGGCCTTTTCTTCCCATTTATCAATCGCCTTTGTTAACGCGTGCAATTCCGACAATGTATTCTCGATACTAAAATGAGGCGGTATTATCATGCCCTTCTCAATCAACTTTGTCAGTTCTTCGCGACTGGCCGATTTAGGATCGTCCTGAAGGGCTTTTACTTCCTCGAGCCATTGTATTTGCGCCAACCTCTGCAAAATAAAATATTCAATTAATAAATTTTGTTCAATTAGTAGTTTGTATTTTTAAGGATAGATGTATATTTGTGCGATTGCATACTTGTTTCAATTTCACGAGTTGAGGCAATTCAATGCAGATGGAATCTCCAAAATCAATGCATTTTTCCAACTTTTCAATATCGCAATCTTCCACTTTAGATTCCAACTCTTCCGCGTCCTTCTGAAACTGTAATACCTGATCCAAGATAAATTTTACACCGTCTGATTCCTTTAATTCACAGCATAGATTGCTTATTTCTTTGTAGAAGAGTGTTAGTTCTTCAACAGTAAGTTTATATTTTGTGTCAACTGTATGCCTGGTCCTAAACAACAAAGAATTGTATAAAATAAAAAATTGCTCACGTGTCAAGAATCTTATTAAATAAAATTTTACACTTCACCAACCTTGTACGCTGTTTATTGTTCAAGAGTTGTTGCGCAACACTCGCGCACTTCTCAGCATCTTGTACAGCTGTGGTTAAAGCTGTCAGCAATTCACTCTCTGGGAACTTCTTGTTCTCAGCTTCATTTAGGAGTTCTTTCAACTCGGTCAGCTCAATTTTGTCGTTTTTGGGATCCATCGCTTCTTTCACTTTGGTCACCCATGAGTCGAATGACTCAGCTTTGAGCTTCAACTTCTGCAGCATGATCGGTAATTCGTCCAACGTATATCGATAACGAAGTGTGTGTTTCTCTGGTGGACAGTTACAAAGTTCCGCGTAATGTCTGAGACAAACTAACTGCGAACTGTGACACGAGCATGTAACTGCACTGAGGAAGCAGGTGGTCTTACATGCTTCACACTGTCTTTCATCATCTGGCAAAAGCTCAAATGCCTCACGTTCTGCTTCTGTCACGCCCTAAACAAAAGAATTTTTCCATACTCAAATATAGAGTAAAAACTTTATCTCATTACTTTTCAACAATTTTTAATGCAATATCACATGGAAATAGTACAAAAGAAAATAATATTGATTGCAAATCTATATTTCACTGGCACACATGGCATCCATCTGTAGAGATCAAAGATGACGCGTATGACGGGACTTGGAGCGCTCACGCGATCAATTCGTCGCACCACCGCAAGCACTTAGCGCACGGCCGCGGGCGTCCATGAGAAATCCGCGACACAGCAACAAGGAAATGCAGTTGCGTGTTTAGCATCATGGCACAAGGCTTCGAAAACATAACCTTACTCACCTATATCTAAGTTACATAATTCAGAGGCGCAGCGAATAGGCATTGGCCAGCCAAGGCCGGCCGCCACGACTACGAGAACTATTTCAACGATGAAAACACGACGACGATAACAACAACGGGTTCGACAGACTCGCGAATTGTGAAAATACGTGGCGGCATTAATTGAGTTTATAACGTGGACAAGACGGTCCTACCAGAACTCTAACACATACAAAACGGTCGGCAATGTCACGCGTATACACATACGTATTTTACCGCGCGCGTACCGCGTATGCGTGCGCGTGCGTGTATGCGTAAGCGGGTGAGCGCGCGTTGTTGGCACGTATGTACTACTTGACCTGAATATGTTGACCTTTTCGCCACAAAATATTACCAGTATTAACATATTCGGTTTCCCTCTTTCTCCCTCTCATTTTTTTCTTTCTGTTAGAAATAAGACCATATTCGTATTCTGCATTTCACAAAATTGTTTAATTGAACCGCAAAAGCAAAGTATATACTAAAAAACATTATTATTAAAAACTATTATTCTAAGCATGTCAAATTTAATATCAAATAGCTATATTTAACAATAAAATAGGGCATAAATAATTTTACTATTATAATTAGGGAACAAATAGAAAGAAGTTTTAAATGATTTTAGAAAATACTTTTAAAAGATAAAACATTTGAAAACAATGATTCATCAAAATCTAATTAAAACCCCTTTAAAAAAATATTTTAAAATGCTAATTTCAGAATAATAAATATTTTTACATTAGAAACAGAGTCTGATTCTATGTGTTGCTAATGTGTTGATAATGTGTTGTTTCAAAGACATATTTATACATAAACTCACCCATTCCAGCAAATTCTTTCGTAGTTTTTTCTCGTCCTCCACCATTTGCAGCATGTCGTGATACGTAGCGGTTGCGATCCCGATATCTAATGCATCTGGATCCAGAGACATTTTGCAAACCAATTCGTCGTGAGAAAATACACAGAATCTCCGCAAATTTGAATAATGCGTGATGCAGTCCCGTCCAATTTTGAGCTGATAAAAAGAATATAGTACTATTAGTATAATTTTTATTATTTTAATATAATAGAATATATATAATCGAGTAAGATTTGAATCCTTGAATATTCAGACGCTACAACTGTGTTAACTTTGCTCAAGATCTAGACGAATCTTATTGCATAAATAATTAACTTACCCAATCAGCAGGTGCGAAATTCACAGCTTCTGCGAAATTATAGCCCTGGTTGAAACCAGCATGATACGCTCTCGGAAATGTCACCACAAACTCGCCTGCATGCTGATCAGTTCTGTATACTGGCACTTCTGTTAAACAATTACAAAATTATGTATTCAACTCGTAGAAGAAAACCAATTATGCATTATCATAAATATTATCATGAATGAATAATTTAAATAAGTTTTTATTCAAATTAATATTAAAATTTTTTTTAATGATTTATTTGCCTTCATATTTTCTAGTTGAGAAAATAATAATGACGTACTTTCTTTCATCAATATGTTCGGATTCATAATGGTAACAAGTTGATGCAATAGATCGGGCTGACTGTGAAATAGTTCCGGCGCGGCTGATTTCATAGTGTGCTCGAACCGTTCCGCTTGTTTACCCGGCACTCCATACCATGTCTTTGGTTCACCCCAGTGAAGGTAATTAATGGAATAGCTCCAGTGATCCTCATTGTGCCAGCAGAATGTCGCAAAGCACATGCCAACGTACATCCAAGGAACTTTCATACCGCTGATATCAGCGTTAATGTGACCTAAAACGCTGCCACCCAAGACCGGCAGATTGTTTAGATTCCATGAAGATTCGGCATACTCCTGATCGCAAGTAAACAAGTTAACGCTGGTTTTGGTTGGAAATCCTGATCCATGATCCATCGTGTGTAAATCTGCACCATATTCCACAGTCACGTCCTCATCAATCGACGATACTATTCGCCAAAATTCTTTCTCCACTAGCGATGTTGGAACCATCTGCAAAAAAATTATATAATTGTTAAAATTTACAAATATGTGTGTGGGTTAAAAAACATATTTTTATATTTGCTGTAAATAGAAAGAGAGAAAACATACATGCACGGGCATATTGAAGTAATCGCTCTTGAATTGATCAGCCATTTCTCCGAATTGCTGCAGCGTGTATTCCCTCTGCGCCTGTTCGAAACCGAACGCCTCCATCGGTTTTGAAACCTCTTCAGCGACGCACTTGGGACACCGCCAGTCGCCCTTTGGTATTTCCGTCAAAGGCGGCAAAAGGCAAAAAGTGTGATAGCTGTCGTCGCAACCATCGCATAACAACATGCTTTCTTCGTTATCGCCTCTTCCACAATTGTGGCAAATATATTTTGCCAGCTAAATAAAAGGAATAAAAGTTTAATTAATATTTAATTAAATTATTATATAGTAATTTAAGTATCTCTCGTCATCTTTTTGCAAATCATAATGCAAACAGTGAATTATACTTACAGGATCGAAATCATAAACAAGTTTCAAGCCGCGCGTTTTATTAGATTTCTTTCCCTCTTTGGTATTAAAACCAGCCATTTTCGGGCCTGGTCCATAAAATTGTAACTTCTTGAGCTCCTTGCTCTTATCCGGGTCGGAATTAAAATTCTTGATTTTAATTTTGTCCTTGCACTCGTTGTCCGAGTCGCACTCCTCCTTGCAATCCTCTTGTTTAATCGATGGATCTTGCTTCTCATCTTGTCCGGAATAGCGCTTGGATCGCCGTGAAAATTTTTCATTAGGTGGTTTAATTTGCTGTCGAGATATTATACCATGTGGCTTGTAATCGCGATCTCTCTTCTCGTTCTTCTCGTCCGACTCTGGTTCGATTTTCTGCAAAAAAAGAATTATAATTTTTTCGTTATATTATAAAATCGAAGATGATTGCAAATAAATGATCATTATTATTAATAAATTTTACGTTTAACATTTTTACAATTTGTACATTCTTTTCTGCAGAATAAACTTGCACTTACAATATCTGACAATGTCTTTCCTTGCGTGAATACGTCAAAAGGATATAAAATTCTCTCGTAATGATTCTTCAATATACTGCCTACGCTTCGTCCGGATGGATAACCCAGTTTATTGGCAATTTTTGCCCACCTTCTTTCCTTCGTTACAGTTTCTATGCCGCCTGTAAGCAACGCTCAATTAAAATCATGACGCAAACAACATAAAACATGTAATGTATAAGAACATAAAATTAAAACTAACCTTCGTCTGTGACTATTTTATGTAAGGAATACAAGTCCAGCGCCTTGCGTTCTACAAGCGGGATCTTCAAAGAGGAACCTTGAAGCTCCCAGAATTTCGCGATTTGATCTAAGAAGTTCAGCTTTATCCTGGTCTTAGCTTCTAATTCGTTTAACCTTTGTATTCTCGGCACAAATTTGAACTTGTCCACATCTACAGCGAACGGTGGCTGCCAATTCTGCAACAAACCGCAGTGCTTTATAAATATTTATATCAACAGAGAGAGAGGGGGGAAAAAGTTGAATTAACGCATTTATCTCGAGCAGATAAAAATTCTCTTTCCTAAGGGTCAAGCCCTGTGTGTGAAAGATATTCCGGCTATCTCAGAGTAAACTAACGATCGTACTTCACATCGACAACGGTTATTACTTATTCACGGAGCCGAGCATCCGATACTACTTATAGGCGCGGTTAGTATACGTGGCCCTTACTTAATGTATCTAACATGTAACGCTCGATAGCAAAAAATACGGAAATAATTCAATTTTCCAATAAAGTTTCCTTTTTCAAATTTAAAAATTGATCGGGCTAAATTTAAAAAGATATCAATACCTGAAATCCGTGTTAAAATCTAAATATTGGATTATTCTGACCCGAGAAAATGTTGTAATGTAACACTTGGACAATAAATACATATTTAATACATAATGAACATCTTCTATTACTATACAAATATTGTAAAAAGTCTTATAATAGACATTCGCTACGGTCGTTATCTTATTTCATTGTTACAAGGTAGCAATTGAATCAATTATTTGTTATTTATAGTTTACTCGCGGTGAGAACACTCGGGAGTCTTTACATGATTCGAGAGCGAAATCTAGATTGTCTTGTAAAATTTTGTGTATATTATTAATCAATACTCATAACAATATTACAATCCAGCAACTCGTGTTTCTAAATATATATCGTGCATACAATTGCTTACATCAGATACAAAAATTGCGTGATAAAAATATCAGATGAAGCAATCAATAAACGCTCTAAATGCTTCCTTACGCGATAATGTATTAACCATGCAAAGGTTATTTGAATTTAAAAGTGCGAAAAAGTAAAATGTAAATATGCTCCAACTTATCTCGTATAACATGGACTTAATTAATTAATCAATTAATTAATGTACTTTCATATTTTTCATTCATCTCGCAAATTTAGATGTAACTTTTATGCACACTGCACTCTCTATAAAGGAAGTAAATTCGATTATCGATATTACTTAATTAAGTTATAAATTAATTAAATTATGTGTACTAGATAATAATTAATTTATTATATATATTAACTTATATAATTTTTATTTAAATTATTCCAAAAAAATCCTAAATAAAAGATTGAAGATAGCACATTAAAAAAAATTTATCTTATTGTTGCCAAGAGATAACAAATTTCGTTCACTGATCTCTTTGAAATTGATGTCTTTCAAAATAGTAGACATTAAAAACTACAAAGCGCGCAATTCTCGTAAATATTTAAACACATTTTTGCCTAGAAGGATTAACTTATGTTTTAGATTGACACAAGATTCTGGGCATTAACATTCAAGTCTGCTGTTGCGGAATACCTTGTACACGCAGCATTTAAAACAAGCAATGAAGTGTATCGCTTAGATAGCTTAATTCTTATTTCAAAAAACGTACACACACTCGTAATCGTAAAGCACGTTGATCAAGTCGTCGTTTTACGAGCAACGCCCGTACGCTTCTACAACTACTTCCGTAATGGCGCCGTGCTCTCGGAAAACATCAACTCTCTAGAAAGCGTTGGAGGTCTTCATCATATATCCCGTTGTATGTTGTATTATGCATTGTCTGTATATATACAACGGGACACTCAATGAAGTATCAATGTGCTGCAGCGTACTGACTCGTTTAGCGAAAATTAAAGAGCACAAACTCCTAAAAGTTTTATCAGATTTGTTGATAATTTTTTATTTATCAATACAAGAGATAAATAATTCAGATTACACACCAAAAAAGCAAAATGAGAAAGAAAGTTAAATACGTACTAAATATTCAACGGAATTTAGAGAAAGTTTTGTTGATTCTTTGGCAAAATAACGTTTAAAAGTGTTTAATTAAATTTTAAAAGTAATTAAAAAATAAGAATATATAAAGAATATATAAAGAATATATGGAAATGCTTAAGTTTCGAAGCTGTCAATGACGCCAAGTTTATTGTCACTGTTCGCGAGGAAATCGTAAAGCGAATGATAGAAGACTTTCGATAAACTCAGCACGTCGAAAACTACACAAGTTCCTGCGCACTTTTAACGGTTACACTTTGATGATTTCGAAGATTATCGACGCATTTCACTTTGTACTAATAAAATCAAATTTTCATATATAAAAAAAATACATTCTTCATATCTGCGTTATTCTTTTCACTTTCTAGCGTGATAAAAGAAAACTATTTTAAAATTGACCAAAGAAAATTTCAAAAAAAATACTAATACCACTGAACTGTGATTTCAAAACATTATTTCACAAAATACAGAAGTAGCGAATTTCTATTTATTCGTATTATGAACTTTTATCGATATATAACATTATTTCACATTATTAAGGATTTTTTGAAGAATAATTTTCACTGCGCAATATCACTTCTTTAGCTAAGTTCAGGTATCACATTGCACATATTATAAACAATAAACAACATACTTTTTCTTCAGTATTATAACATTAAACAGATAAAAACGATGCATATCGTCATCATAAATTATGCGGCAGCACTCGTTAAATCGATCGTAACAAATTCAGAGAAGAAAACAACTCTTAAAATTTCCTCCTACGATGAGAATAAACAATCGGCTACGGCCGGGATAATTATTAAGTATCGATTAGCCGGCATGGGTAAAAATCAATAATTACTTGAGAGCTTAGCGCCTTGATACTTTTGATACACCTGCCCGGGAACGACGCGAAACGTGTCGAAATCATTGTTATAAATGCTATCTTCGTGTGGCAATCCGTTCTTGAGAAACATACGCGATCATTTATTATTAAAGATTATAATTACTTCGATGGCGCCTACGGCGATGTCGCTCAAAAATTGCAACTCGATACGGAACGAGGAAGGCGAGCTGGATAACGCAAATTTGATAAAAGAGCGAAAACGTAATCAAGCGTGAAAAATATGCTTGAATAATGAGAATCAAACTCTTCAATTTTAGATCTGTATGACGATACGCTGGACGACACATGCGATTGCTAGACTTATGTAATTCAACTGTCGTCATTATCTAAGCATTTAAACGTTGTAACATTGTGTATTCCTTTTTTCCTAAAGTTTCGAATACGCTTCAGCCGCACAACTATTTTTCCACGAAGAACTGTCTTTACGCTGAAAATACGCATCAGCCTCATGTCGATCACGCGAGCCATAAAATCCGTGCAAATATTCGAGTCGCCCACACCTGTCGCCAGACGCAAAAAAAAGGCATGATTTCCGGCTGGAATTTTTCCTCTTTACACACGGAAACAAGATGGTGGCGCAAATTGTTTCTAATGGTGGCATAAATCGACGACGTGGTTATGCCAACGAATTGCGGCGAGGCTCCGCGAAGAATGAAAACTCCTGCTGTGCAGGGAAAGGCTTTGAGAGTTCGTTAAGAAAAATACGATTCAAAATCGGCCTATCGAGAGTTATCGGAGTGAAAGGTGATGACAGCGTGGAAAAGAATGATATCATGCGGCCAAGCTGCAACGCAGCCAGTTGAAGATTCTCTTCTTTTTTCGAAAACACACCTGTTATTTCAAGGTTCAATAAACGAGCGAAAGGGATGAATGAGAAGATATCGCAGGATGCGAAAAAACAAGGAAGATCGCGTTGCGTCGAAATAAGAACACGTTTCGGCCGCTCGGAAGCAAACGCGATGATAACGGGATCGCGCAGCCGTCGATAAATTTCGATAAAATCCCAGCGCGGCGAGTGTGTTTCCCCGACCACCTCTGCCCCAGGTCTTCTGATACTTTGCACAACTTCCTCGAAGTGAAAGAGAGCACATCGCATTCTATTGTCTCGGCCATTTTATATGGCGGATCGCTTGGTAATATCGTTATTACACGAGAATTTATTGTCATGCGAATCACGCGAGGCCACGTTTATTTAACGTATAGAAATTGTTATATTTGCTCCATTATCGATTTACTATTATTTTTGTTGCCACTGTCATTGATATCGACGGTGTGTCCGCGAGAAAATTTCAAAACACGCGTTAACACCGTCACGTAGCGTTCACACGTAAATTTTTTTCCAACTTTGTTTCTTTATCTCGACGGGAGTCACCGTAAATTTCTTTTCCTCGTTTTTCTTGCCCGTCTCTTCGGCCTTTTTGGCCGAAGTCCCGCGACGCAACGCGTGACAAGTACGGTCATTACTTCACAGGCAAAGAAACATGGAGACGCTGTTGGGAAAAAACCAGCGTGCACACCGAAACATTCTCCGAAGACCCCGCACGGGGATCTTCGTTTTCTCCTCCTCGTCGTCGTTGTGGTTATCATCGCAATCGTTCACGATACTGCATATAAGATAGTCATTCGTAAAAACGAGGTCGCTCGTCGCTCGAGGACGTGCAGCTCTCGCCGTGCCCTTTCCTTCGGAGCGCGTGGGAGAGGAGTCCATGTAGGATCGATTTCTTCCGACGTTTTTTTCGTCTGGACGGCGATGATAACGGCGACCACGACGACGAGGAAGTTGACGATGACAACAACGGCAACGCTCGCTGGGACGCGCATCGTGAATAAAGAGCCCATGCATTCGGATTTGTCCGTCCGACAACTTTTGCAAATTTTACTCACAGGCGGTGGTTTAATCTTGCAGATACCGAAGATCTCGGCGATTGGCCGTATTTTCGCGATGTAGACAAGCGGATCGTAGAACTCGTCGATGTGGGGCTCGAATACCGGCGCCTCTGGCGGCACCGTGAACTCAAAATCGTTCTCAGTGCGTTCGCAGGTCATGTCGCGATTATTTCCGCAATTGCGGCTCTCGTTGTTGCTCTTGGAACTCATCATTCACGGGGTATCGGCAGGCACGCTGCCGCCGCCACCGCTGCCGCCGCCGCCGCCGCCGCCGCCGCTGCTACCACTCGACGGTCGCTGCTGGTTAACTGCTGCCTGGCACGTACGCACGACACACGCGCTTTAAATCCGAGCAAGGATTTCGGCACGTCGGGCACCGCCGCCGGGCGACGTTTTCACTACTTGACCCGAGGCGATCGCGTAAGCACGTAATCACGACTTCCCGGACGGATCATGCTCCTGTATGCTCGCTGGACGCTGTTGCCGTTTGACAATGAACGACGCGCGACGGACGCGAATCACGCGACGGATGCAACATCGAAGTTACGCGACGCCTCACACACGATCTACCGTGACTGATCGCTCTTCTCCCTATTACGCTCACCATCCCCACTCCACTTGGCGAGAGTAACGGCTCGACAGTAGTGCCACCATCGTGGACGAACCGTGGACGTATAAAAGTAGACCCCACATTGGCTATGTGTACTTGCTCTAACATCCTGAAGGAGAAAGAGAATATAGGATCCTTTTCTTCTCATTTGATGCGCAATTGTTTATTGTCAAAGGAAAATGCAATGCCTCGCCTATCTCTCGCCCTCTTTTCCATGAATGTTGACACGACGAATCTGTAGAAAATTTGCCGATTCGCTATTCGGGTCTACTTCTTTATCGTCGGAACGAATGGCCATCGATGGTGATCCGGCTGGCTGCCATTTTACCATGATCTCGCGCAACATCACGTGACGTCCGACTTTGCGCAGGCAGCGTGGTGACGGTGCATATAAAAAAAATTTCATTATTTTTTGTTTTGATATAACGCTAGCGGGCTTGATTACGTAATTCCAACGTGTCATATGAAAGCCGTAGCTTGCAGAGAATGTGGAAACAATATCTTGCTCAGTATCGAAGCTATAATGAAAATAGTTTCGCGCGTGCGTAGAGTTGATTTATAAGACATAGCGGAAGACGGACTAGATTTTGTTTACGAGCTATAAATGCGACGGCACAATGATGTGCGCATGACCAATCGTCTTTTCCGCTTTGCAAGAAACACTACATATGCATGAAATAATGAAAGCGATCGATAATGAAGGATAGCTATTCATTAAACTACTAGTTCGAAACTTTTTTCGATACTGCTAATTTTAATCAAACTGCGTAAATAAACTGAATTCAGACTCAAATATGTGAATATTCGATATATTTTTAATTTTTAGAAATAAGAACATTGCTAGTATTTATGAAATAAATTCTTTTATTGAATTTTCTGCTTTACTCGTTGATGATAATCTGATTTGTCTTACAAGTATGCTATCTACCCATCAGATTGCGCACTAAGAGTTAATGGAGGATCGGCTGTAAAAGTATTGCAACGTTTCTCTCGTTTCTCATACGTATTGATACGTATTTAGGTTGAGTGAGTATGAATGATTACATAATTATTTAATGTCTAAGGTCGTCACATATTTTGTTCGAATCTTTTAAACTTTATTCAAATTCTGTAGCTTGAGTTTATAGAATACTTCAAGGAATATTTATGCTACAATGACTACTGTCACAAGCGAGAATGGTTATGTTTGATTAAATATGTCAATTACAATTTTTCAGATTCCAGCCAATATGGGGTTGAAATTCGGAAACCTTGCCAAGATCAATGGCATTGTCTACTTCCGACTTAGTCCATATGAACAAAAAGCCTTCAAGGGTCTAATCTCTGAAGGTATACCAAACTTGGCGCGCCGTATCCAAGGTCGTGTGTTTCGATCTGCACCCAGTAAGTATATTTAATAATTTGATATTTAATAACTGCATATTTAATGAAGTATCTTAATACTCAATGAATCATTCTTTACAGTATTCATGGCTGCATACTTGGTTCTGAACTGGGCGAAGGAAACAAACCACGCTGCTTCTCGCAAGAATCCTAAAGACTATGAAAATGATACGTAAAATATAGGTGAATAAATCTCTAACCAATGTTACTTAGTTTACTGTACAAATCAATTTAAACTTCAATTCTGAAGTAAAAATAAATTCATGTAAGTTATTGTAGTTCCTAGAAATGTGTATTTTGAATTCACATGAACTCACTGTTCCTTTTGTAGAATGTGCAAGTCCTCTATATCAAATTAATTTTATCTAAATTAGAAAAATATTTTACATTTATAATTTATGTATAAAGTATTAGTATAAAAACATGTCCTATTTACAGTCAATTGAATTCACACGATTTACATCTTTCGTTACTTAATGATAATTATATCTATAATAGTATATAAAGCCTATATAACATTATTAAATCTTGTTAGATATTCTTTGGTTTTCAATCTTATTGCAATTTATTTTTCACATTTTTTTAAGTTTACAAATTTCTAATTAAAGTTTTTTTTTAAATGATACTAATCACTATACATTTTTAATCAATTAGGAATATAAATAAGATCCAATGCCAGTTTCAAACTGGTAATACTAACAACGTATTACTTGAGTGCTTTATTGAGTAAAACAATTAGGCTTATTATTACAACATTTATTATATAGACATTGTTAAATGACAGCCATTTGGCTAACCTGGTCCACTAAACTGCGTTGAACAGGTGTTTCCCACCTTCCTTTGAGTCACATTCTTTACAATCCCTCTTTGTAACAGGTAGTTTCATTGGTTCGAGACACCAGTCTTCGGGTTTCTTCGTCTTTTTCGAATGTATGCAGCACAACATCATCATGGTGCCTCGTGCCACATGCAATTAATAATAATTCTAAAGTCAATCCACACTCGCATATAAATTGACGATATATTCGCAACGATGCGTTTTTCCAAAAATAAAATTTAAAAAAATGACAGAAACATTCTTGTAGAGTTCATCGGCAAACCAACGAGTTCACGATGGCACCTTGACATCCTTTCACATACAATCCTGAAGCACCGCTCCGATGTTTGCCGATCTCGACGGGCCCGGTCGCCATGTTGGTCTCGCAACGTTTAAGCCAATAGTGTGTCGCGTTACCTGCGCCGCACCTGGGGCAAGTAGGAACGGTGCGTAGAGATCGACGGCGATCGGCGAATTACGGTCGGATTAGTCGCCGGAGTATTTGCGGTCGAGCATGTTCGGGACGTAGGGGCTCCGTCGCTGTCTCTGTGTCGCCTCGGGATCGAGCGCCTTCCCCTCATCCCGCCCTCCCCGTCTTCTCCGTCTCCGTCGCTTCGACGTGTGCGTATGCGGAGCGCGTTGTGAAAAATTTGTAAATAGGTAAGTAACCGTTCTCGTATTTCTCTCTCCCCTTTTTTTTTCCGCGTACGTGTACAAGACTACTCCCGTGCATCCTGCCGCGATAGTGATCGACCGATCGGACGGGAGTCCTCCCGCGTCGTAACGTCAACGGTAACGACGCCGAGGGGGAATTATGAGACCGTCGTAATGCCGCACCGTTGCAACAGCGAGGCGAATCGTACGTCGGCGCACACCTGTTGCTGTGCACGGTCGCGTTGCGTGCCTAGACCCCTCGGAAGACGACGAGAGGACGCACACGGTCGGAGATAAAAATCGCGCTGACGAAGGCACGCGCGCGCGCGCGTTCGCCGGATCACCGCGATATCGGCTGCTCCGACAGGCGGCTTCCTAGCTGCGATATTGCACTTAAACATCGGACATTGACGTGAAATCTGTAGTACGAATACCACGACTCTCGCAAAGTGTACAAACAAGTCCGAGAGACGACGGGAAATTGATATTTTGTTCTTTTACTGGCGTCTCAATTCCTGATCATGTCATCGAAGCTTGTTTGCTACTGAATATCGCAACGTGCAATCATGTAAACAAACAAAAAAAAAGCAAAAATAATATCACACGCTTTATTCTGGATCAATAATATAATTAATTTTAATTCTGAATCATGAAGCTAGATTCTGCACGCAATATATCTAAAACTGTGTGTAGTGTTTTTATTTGTAGAGAAAATTGGATATTTTGTTCGCCTCTGTATTTTTCACGATTTTTTACAAGTATTCAGTTCGGTATAAAGCCGCATGAAGAATCGTATGCGACTGCGTTTCCGGTGACACCGGAACGATCTTCAGGGTCGTCTGTGCGAAGCGCAATTAACTAATTAAGTAATAATTATGGATCGAAGCGCTGTTAAGATAGAGGGAAGCTTCATAATTGGATGATACGGCGTCTTAATTGTCGGATATTTCATAGTATCTAGAACATGTATTTACGCGTGTGCGTCTCGATTTCTCTGAAATCTACATTTTACATCTTCCAAAGTATTTAAAGAAAACCGTATATTTGTAACTAAAATGCAGCTAAAACCATTATATTTTTTTTCTTATTAGCAGAAAAACTTAAATACAAAATTGACAACAAAATTGAAGCAATGTCGCTCACTATAACTGATAAAATATTAATTAAATCAATTAAGAAATTTTTAGAATTAAAAAAAACTACAATTTTTCTATTTAAATCATAAACGAAGTTTTCGTGCATAAATTCGTTTTTTAGCGATGTTTATGAAAAAATATTCTTCAATTCTAACGTCTAGATTTAATCGTAAAGATTATTCCTTTATATGTGACACAAATGTGAAAGAAACACTAATGACAAACGCTATCTTTTATCGGGTGTGCATCGATCACTAGAACCATTGTGTCGATTTGTCAATTTTTATCGGGTTATCATTATCGTGATCTGATGATTCACTGACTGCCGACCTTTGATCATCCTCATTTCAGTCTATCTCGTGATTGTAATACGTGCCATTTCCATTCTCTTATCCGCGAAACTATGAGCTTCTAATCAAGTTTACATAGTTTCACAACTTCGTGTATCCATTATTTATGAATGACAATTATACATTGGAATAATAGCCAACTAACTAAAATATAACTCGTGTGTAGAGCTCTGATTTAATTATGCTGTCGAAAATCAAATTTGAATGAAGATAAATTGCGATAATTACACACGCTATGGACAGCCGCGTCGTCTGAAGATAAATTACAACAATTACGCGTTTCAATATCCGTTCTATCCTTAGGACAGTCTTTTGTTACGGTAGCATCCCTTGAGATTTTTCATACACAGTGTACATATATTGTGTCACGTCTGTCCAAAGTCATCGCATTTGTCAAAACTTGGAAGCGGCAATTAGGAGCGCGGCATCTCGCTAAAAGAGATCGGCGTCCGTGGTTCATTGTCAGCTACTCGAGAGTCAGTTCTATTCATTGAACGGGTACAAGTCCACTAGTCGTCATAAAGCGAGACGAGTAATAAACATTTCCAAGTCCTCTCTGTTACATGTCCGCTCGCTGCTCGTGACATTTGCCAACTGCATTCCTGCGTCGCGCCTATCCCCGCTCGACTACATTGTTCGCCATTAATCGGCAACGATTGCCGTACGTAATCACGACGGAGAACCTCGTCGCCGTCGTCGATTTTTCTCGCGGAACTGTTATCTCGTAGACGCTGTCGATGCACATCATATTATTGCGCGGATCGTGTTTCCGCGCCTCTGTGTCGTGTATGTTTACATTCGGTTACGCGGACACGCGCATCGTCTTCGTCGTCACCGCCGCCGTCATCGTCGAGAATTGTGCAAGAAACCTCGGCATATTTCACTGCCTTACCGGTGCCGGGTGAAAAAACACCGGCCGGCGCACACAGCAATCTCGGCCTGAGCTCTCGCCTGAGCGATGGCCGGCCGGTCGTATCGTCTCTCGCATCCCCACCGTCGAACGACACCTGTAATTCACGCCTACGAAATACCTACGTGATCTCCCACGTGAGACCGGCGAGTTGTGTTGTGACACAAATTGCGAATGCTTATTATTGATCGCGCATGGCTTTTCAGTTTGCTCGCTGAAGCAAGATTTATGAAGTTTCCCCGCGAACTGTGACACACTCGCGGTGCATTAACGTAAAGAGCTTATTTCCGGATGGTCTTAAATTCATATTACTGCTTAAGCAGGCTTTCCCCGGTTACGTTTAACACGTAATCTCCACTTTTGAAACGCATGGCTGTAAAACGGTATGGAAATAAAGTTCTCTTCAATTCCTATTTTATTATTTAACTCATCATTCTAAATATATAAATCCGAGATGTTTCGAAGTCAACTTTCTAATTCTAATTATTCAATTTTTTTTAGAATTATCAGAACGTAAAATCATTCAGAATTTATAATTATATTTGCTTCAAAACGCAAGTACAAAAATAAGCTTTTTAGCTTAATCCAACATATATTATTAACTTTTTAAATGAAAATAATTTGAAATGCATTTATATTTATTTGTCCCGTAATTTTTTAAATGAAAAAGAAGCTATAATTATTACACTCGCATTTTATATAGGCCGATCTTTCTTCTAATAGATAATTAGAATAAACGGCATTTCAAGTGTACGCGCTTTGAATTGTATTTTTAATTGAACGTTCTAGTAGAGTGCACTGTCTTCATTTCGTGTGCATTTGCCTTTAATAACGTCCTGGTTTCTCACAATCTAGCGTACAAATGGAAAACGTAGCTGCACATAGCAGTAGTTTGTTGACCTCCTAATACATCTGTGATTCCGTGACACACATTGCGAATATTTATCGGCTGCGTGTCTATCGGTGTAACTTTTCACGTATGCCATCTGCTCAGACATCGAGAAATCTCGGATTGATTTTTTATCTATAAACAATTTTATGCATACAATTGGTCGTATTTCTACGAATAAATAACTTTATTACATTCCACAGTACGTAATTCACTTAGAACGTTACATAAGCTTAAATAATATTTTGCTCGCTCGAACAACCTTGATGAATCATTCCGTCATGAAAAGCATTGGTATCGATATTTTCGTTTTGTTACGTTTTGTTGAAACGGCACGGAGTAAAAATATAGCTTTTATTTCTCTCATAATAGCCGCTGTAATCGAGTCGAGCCAATTTTTCGCAGCACTAAAACTGCCAAGTGCGTCTTCGGTATCATCAGTGTCCTCTTCGCGAAATCGTAAACGTAAAATTTTTACTGCGGACGCGGCGTAAAATTTTTACCGGCAGACGAGAAATGTACCGCAAACGCGAGCCACGCTTGCCATTGTGGAAAGCACTTTAAGCGCGTTTTTTTGCAATCCGACTCGCTCCTTTCTTCGCCTCTCTTTTTCCGCTTGCGGACTCCGCTGTCTCGAAGACGTCGTTACGCGCATTCGGCATACGGCCGACGCATTCCACGTGCGCGTATTTTTTCAAAAGATTGTTTACGCTAGTAAGCGAGTCCTCTCGGCGTTGACACGACGATGACCCTCGTCACGATTGCACACGCGTACGTGCTTCTCTTAAATATGCCGCTGCATCCGAGCGACGTGAAAGGCAATTTTCTTTTGTCTGCGAATTCCGACAACTCTGACAAATCGTGATTTCAAATGTGTAAAAAACAAATCAAGTGTTTTTGACATATATTATTGTTCTCTATACACTTATCATCTCTATGATTTTATTTAACATTTACAATTTATTGTCTATAAGATAACGCAGTAGATTATTGACTATTAATTGACACGATAAATAATAAATAATATCAATCGTATTATTATATTTTTTACAGTAGATAATATTTTAAGGGACACACACACACTCGATTGATCAGGAATTAGAAGACGCCAGATTCATTGAATTCCAGCTGATGTCTTCGCGCAATTACGTGTAATGCAAATGAACATAAAGTGTAAAATTAACGTTCCCTTGATCTCGGAATATAATCGGCCATAAGGTTAAACGTACCATAGCGCACAAATTAGATTTGTTCAGCAAACAGGTGATCGATCGCGCGGATGGAATTAATCCTTAATGATTAATTAACGGAGCGAGGCCGAGCGAAAAGTTCATTCGCGCCGTCGGTCCATTCACTGCGAAACTTGTTCAATGTACGAACGAACTAGCAAGATCGCAATAGGCATGCGAGGTGCATTGGCAACTTTCTTTCCACTTTTTCAACGCTCATATAGGTTCGCGTCCGCGATGTATTTACTTTCAACGTGTCTTGCCGGCACGGCCGGCGTGCCGATCTTGGCGGATGTATGAGAGTGGAACGGCTAAAGTTTCATTTAGTTCCGTGTGAAAATATCGCGCTCTGCCGGCGCAAGGCTATCGAGAAACTCGTTTTTCGTAGAAGCTGATTTCAAATTAACCTTCGCTAAATTTAATCAAATTATTGCACGAGTAAGATTTTTACTACGATTTCTCCCGCCAAAGGGGAAATTTTTTTGACACATC